ACTACTACTACTACTACTACTACTTGGTAAGGCAGTTCCAGAAATTGGTGTAAAACTACTTCCTCCTCCTCCCTGTGCTGGTAGATGTGGCTGCTTTAAATAACTGGTAAGGCACCATGCTAAGATTTTTTTGGGGGGGAGAACTTTTTGCAAGCAGAGTAAGAAAGCTATAGGTGGGTAAGTTCTTCGTTCCTTGAGAAAGAGAGGCCCTGTTGCTTTTAGTAAATGGGCAGCATAGAGTTTCAGTCATCAGCACTGGTCCATTTTCGGACACTTGGTCAGTTTTGTGTAGCTCAAGGCACTGGTTTCTGCCTTTACTGTAGTCTGCAGCAGATACGCAACGAGAGGTCTTCTTGTGACACTCAACAGAGGTTCAGCCAGACGATTCCTTTGATGCCCATCTTTGCAAGTTGCACTGAGAAATTTCTTCTTGTAGAAGGGCTCAGGGAGAGGACACTGGCTTCCTTGCCCCTCCTGGTCTCTGCAGTTGCCTTCTTCTCTTGGGACCACCACCAACACCCCCCTCTCCATGCATCAGTGGCTTTGAAAAGTTAGCAGGGGTCTTCAGTTAAAAGGAGAGTATCAGCAAGCAAATTTCTACATTGGGCAAACTTTGGGAAGGGGGACTTTTTCCTTTATCTGGTTCTACCCCCACATTTTTTTGTGCTTATCTCAATGTGCAATTTTTTTTAAAGATGTTTTCTCAGTAGAGAGAAAGGGATAGAAATGTCTGCATCACCAGATTAATTTCTGCACACTGTGTGAAAGGATGAATAATTGGGGTAGGGGAAAAAATGTGAGCAGAGACACACTGGAGCCCTACTTGGCTAAATTCCAGGACCCAGACTACCATTTAGCCATGATGAAGGCCTCCTGGGCCATCTTTGTTCCTTGCCCTGTGTCTAGGCACATTTTATAGGGTTTCAGGTTTCTCAAACGTTTGTTGTGAAATATTCTGAAGTTGTCCACACCTGCTTTTGTCACGGTTCATTGGCTAGTTGGTACTTTGGCTCACACTAGAGTTCCCTTTCTCTTGCACAAGTCCCTGCATTTTTGCACAGTGTGTGTGTGTGTGTGTGTGTGTGTGCGCGCGCGTGGGCATGTGCGTGCATGTTCAGATGAATTTAGTTTGTGCTCTGATTTCTCAGGTCTGTCTTTGCTTCGTTCGCAAGACGCTAGGCCACAGTGATTTTAGCTGAGGAAAGAGGGAAATCAAAGGGTTGGGGTTGTTTTCTCCTGCTCTTGGCGGTGTGAAATATTGTGGTGAACTTGCCACGGATTAAGCCACAACAATGCCCATAAGCTACTATGGCTTCCACCAACGTGTGTCATTTTTATATGTTCATGTTTCCTCTTCCGTGTTTCCGTTTAAGTTTGGGCACTTTCTGTGTCTGCATGCAAAAATGGAGTGCCCTCCAAGATAACAAGGATGGATTTTAAAAGGGGACAGGGGGTGAGTTCCTTTCTCAGATGTGTGCGTCTGTCCACTCCATCGCTCTTCTGTGCTGAAGTCAGCTGCAATGGTGACATTTTCCCATCTCAAAACAAGAAAATAAACTGGATTTTCAAGACAGAGACTCCAGACTTTTTTCCTTACGCATGAGGTGCATTAAGACCTATTATGGAATGGGGTTGGCACGCTAGAAAAAACACATTCTACTTTTCAGGCACCCAAAATGCCTTTGGAGGGAGCAAAATTCTAGATGGCAAGAACTACGATTGGATCTAAATGTTGAACAGCAAATATCTGAACGCGTTTCTCTTTATTTTGGGGAGAGGCTGGGGAGGTACCTCGATGTTACACAGCTGCCTTATTTTTACTCTCTTTATTGTATTTTTGTTACATTTTTAATAGCACTTTTTAATGTTTTTTTCTTCTTGATAGTGTATTATTATTATTGTGTTTTCTATTTCTTTTTTTGGTTATTAAAAAAAAACAGCGGCCTGATTGCCCAGACATGCTATTTCCTCAAAAAAAAGGCAAAGGGTGTCAAGAAAACTCAGACTTCACCATCCTGACACTGTAAGATTAGAAATGGGGGCTGTCCAAGTTCTGCTTTTACCTGGTGGAGTTTCCATTTTAATAGATTGAAACAGCTAATTCATGGCTCAACAATTGCCCAGACTGGACCCTCAACCTAAACCCCAGAGAACTGGTGTCTCTGCAAAATCTGTTATTGCACACTTTTGCAGATCACAGTCCAGTTCATCAGTAAGCTATTGACAATATTTTCAACGGAATAATTCTTTCAAAGTGTTTTGGGTTTATTATCACTTTTAAAAAAAATCATTCCCTATGTTGTTCCTTTTTTTTTTAAAGAAAAAAACAAGGAAAAGGGGCTTAAAAATCTACAGATAAATAAACAGGCAGTGGATTGAATCGACCATGATCGGTGAAATGCTTATGGAATAGGGGGTTTTTTTTCCCTTTAAGGTGTTACAAGGCTCTTTATATTTTTCTGCAACAGACAAAGATGGTGATCCACGGACTGAGTTTGCACAATGTGCTTCAATCTGGTTACTGATTTATTCCATTTTCTGGGATCCTGCAACACCCTTTAATAAAATAAAGAGGCTTTTTAAGCTGCCCCCAAACCCCTAATCACGGTTAAAAATAACCAAGCTTAGCAGGTGGCAGAAACGCCTCCAGAAAACCTTGAAATGACCCAGCGAAACATGGTTTGTGATTTGAGATGCTTCTCAGCCAAACTGAACCAGAAGGGAAAACTCAAGACCCCATTTTAGAAGCTCCTGTATTTGTGTACCGGATTTTTACCATGCATTCATGCAAAGGCTGAAAAGACTGGAACAATTAATCACAGAATGGCAACCTAGCAGGGCCCTCAATCCTCCTGGCCAAAGGCTGCTGTTTCCCAGGCTGCAGTGGGGGGGGGGGGGGGGGGGGGCAGAGGATGAGTGGCAAAAGGGACTTGCATGCCCAGTGCCTTGCTCTGCACATCAGAAGCTGCCAAGCCAAGTCCAGCACAATGAGATGACTGTGTGGAGTTTCTGCAAAGATTGTGTAGGGTTCAGCCAACAGCAGTTGGCCAAGGCCATCTAAGGCAGCGTCTCTCAACCTTGGGAACTTTAAGGTGTGTGGACTTCAACTCTCAGAATTCTCCAGCCACCATAGCTGGCTAGGGAATTCTGGGAGCTGAAGTCCACACATCTTCAAGTTGGCAAGGTTGAGAAACACTGATCTAGGGTGTACGCAGAGGGTTTGTGGTCCGGCGGCTTAAAGCATGAGAAATCTTGCCCTCAAATGCTTGCCCGTTTGGAAAAAGCTCCCTGACCAAGATGGGAACTCAAGGTCATTTGTCCCCTTGCCCTGCTGAGTTCCCCCCAACACACAAACCTTTCTCCCAGCTCTAAAGATTGGGATCCCATCAGATTCCAAGCTAGTTGGAACCACACAACCAATATTCCAACTTGTAAACTATGATCTAGAGCTTTGCAGGGGTGAATTGGGGGCTCGTGGGCCAGTCAAGAAACCAGGGTTCAATAAGCCATCACTTATCCCCATGTGCAAAGTCAGCTAAATATGCACCTAGTGACAAACTGGAAGCTAAACCCAGCCCTGTGAGCAAAACTTACATGGGGCAGTTCAAACCTCGTGGGGGGAACATGTTTGCTTTAAGGCAGGGGCAGGAAAACAGCTGTTGGCTTTGGAGTTTGCACAGACTTGATGCACCATCTTTAAAGAACACATGTCCAAGAAGGAAGCCCCCCCCCCAATTTGCTGAAGGCATGTTTGCCCCTTAGATCTTGGGGTTCAGAGAGATTGTTGGGCCACCTTGTCTAAGAAGGCTTGCAGTCAGAAAGCACCCAGTGTCTATTTGTCCTTTCAATTTTTGACAGCTCAGGGGTTGAACACCCACCCACACTTCTGCACTGCTCAAGTGGGAATCCAGCCCTCAGTTGGAAACGGGATGTTTAGTTTCACATATTGGTTTTGCCAGCTACCTTAGAAAATTCTTGGCTGGGCCCATCTCAACACCGGCCAAGAAGGAACCTTGCCCACTCTTTTCCGGGAAGAACAAATTACTCTACATTTTTGCATGCGAGAGCTGGTTTACTTGCTAAGAGCTTGATCACTGAAGGACTGGACAAAAAGATGCCAGCTGTGTTCGGACAACACCCAAACCCGCAAACCCTGCTTTTGGGCTACCCCAAAGCTAAACCCAATGATGTCTTAGTGTGTTGTAGCAACCAGGACATGAGATGAAGCCACAAGACGGTTTGCAAACCCCGTGGCTTGTTCACCCACGTTTAGGGGCTCCTGTGCTGTGCAAGGCAAGCCGAAAAAGGGGACCAAACTCAGCTTTCTGCTGTGGCAACTGGAATTCAGAGCACTGGAGGGAGGTCACCCCAGCTACGCGCTTTCCCGAGCCTGCATCCGCCTAAACGTTGACAAGGCTGTGCCTTTTGACGTTGACCGGGTGCCTGATCCTGGGTGGTTCTGAGAAACGGCAGCTGGACTTCCGTCACTGGCTCTCCTTGGCATTTTCGCTTCCTTTTTCGGGAGAGGCGTCCTTGGGGAGACCAACCCCCACCAAGAACTCCTTTCAGACAGGCTGGTTTGTTCCACTGGCAGGATCAGTGCATTTATTGTGAACACAGTCTAGGCTCTGGGGCCAAAGCTGACTTGCTGCTGGGGGCCAGGCCCAAGGGAGGAGAAGGATGCCCCCTTCACCCCCACTCCCTTGCTGCCATGGCGCTTCCACAATGTACGGTCTGCAGGCATCTTCTGGGCAGGGGGATCTCAGCATTTCAAAGCCAGCTGAACAGCCACAGTCGTGCCCCTTCTGCCCCCTCCCCCCAACCGCGGTCCGTGCCCCCCTTTATTTGTTCTGTTCTCTCTGCACTTGGGTGAGTGTGCGTTTTCTTAGAGTGAAATTGACATCTTCTCTTCTAAAGTGGTGCCTCCTCCCTTCATTAAGAACCATTCTTGATTTTGGCTAGGAATTGTTGGGCCCACCAGTCTTCCAGGTCAATGGGAACAAAATCTGAAAAAGAGAAAAGAGGGGGAAAAAATAACTTTATAACCAACAAGACCACTCCAAACACCTGCTTCAGTGTATATTTCTTCCTACCCAACCTTCAGAGGGTGACGAACTATAACCCCCACCATCCCTCCCTATTGATTATGCTATCTGGGGCAGTTGGGTGTTGGAGTTCATCACTCACCCCTTGGAAAAGCAGTTATCCATTCCTAGACTAAAGGGATAAGTTACAGGTTTATTTCTCCTATAACGTAGAGCAGTGCTTTTCAACCTAAGCAACTTTAAGATGGGTGGACTTCAACTCCCAGAATTCCCCAGCTATGCTGGCTGGGGAATTCTGGG